TATTTCCTTTTTTTTCCAGACACTTGATAACCAGCCACCATGAGTTCTTTCTTCCTCCTTTGCAAAATACTGGGGCCTGTGGTTCTTATCTCTCTTGTTCCTCTTAGATGCAGTTCACTAAGCTTCCTGATTAATCTTAAATGTTTGACTTGTCAGCAGACATCAAAATGAGCTTCTCATAACATGCACTTTATTTAAAATCCTGGGCTCTACAATCCTTTATCCTAACATTGAACTCCCTTTTCTGTTGAGCTACCTCCAGCCCAAATGATTCCCATCAGGACACAAAGAGAGAGGTATCAGCAGGTTGGTGAAGGTTAAGGTTTGCAAAGTAAAGATATGCTTACATGGGGGGACTCTTGAGGATATCCATCCCTATTCATCTGTTTGATGTTTGCTGTGGATACAACATTTGTAAGTTTCTATTACAGCAGTGGCACCCTTGTTATGCCATTTTTACAAAGTTCTGGAGAGACTTATTTTGTATAGAATTATGGAAAAATAGACCCATGTCTGATTCTACAGCAAACTGGCTTCAGGAAAGGCAGAAGCTGCACATTGCAACTGCTGAACCTGACTCAGCACATAGGAGATGGCTTTGAAAGGCAGCAGATCACAGGAGCTGTCTTTATATACCTGTCAGTGGCTTATAATACTGTGAACCACTGCCTCCTCCTGAGAAAAATTATAATGTCACAAAGGACTACCACCTCACCCGTCTCATAGGAAACTTGCTACAAAACAGGAGCTTTTTTGTTGAGTTCCAGAGCCAGAGAAGCAGATGGCGGAAACAGAAGAACGGCCTGCCTCAGGAGAACGTGCTTGCTCCATCCATGTTAAACATTTACACAAATGATCAGCCACTGCCAGAAGGGACAGAGAGCTCCATCTATGCTGATGATCATGTCATTACCACTCAAGGAGGGAGCTTTGAGATGATTGAACAGAAGCTCTCCGAAGCTCTAGGTGCTCTTACTCCCTATTATAGGGAAAATCAGCTGATCCCTAATCCATCTAAAACACAGACATGTGCTTTTCACCTTAAGAACAGACAAGCATCCCGAGCTCTGAGGATTACCTGGGAAGGAATCCAACTGGAGCATTGCAGCACATCCAAATAGCTGGGAGTCACTCTGGACCGTGCTCTGACCTACAAGAAGCACTGCCTGTATATCAAGCAAAAAGTGGGCACTAGAAACAATATCATACGAAAGCTGACTGGCACAACCTGGGGATCACAACCAGACACGGTGAAGACATCTGGCCCTGTGCTCTGCTACTCTGCTGCTGAGTACGCATGCCCAGTGTGGAACACATCTCACCACACTAAAACAGTAGATGTGGCTCTTAATGAGACATGCCGCATTATCACAGGGTGTCTGCATCCTACACCACTGGAGAAACTACACTGTTTAGCCAGTATTGCACCACCTGACATTTGCCGGGAAGTAGCAACCAATAGTGAAAGGACCAAGGCAGTGACATCTCCAGTTCATCCCCTGTTTGGGTATCAGCCAGCACGCCAATGACTTAAATCTAGAAATAGTTTTCTAAGATCTACAGAGACACTCACTGGAACACCTCAGCAAGTGAGAGTCCAAAAGTAGCAAGCTCAAACCCAGAACCTCAATCAATGGCTGATTCCAAGTGAGAGACTCTCCCCTGGGCACACAGAAAACTGGGCAACTTGGAAGGCGCTGAACAGACAGACCACGAGATGCAGAGCCAACCTTAAGGAATGGGGCTACAAAGTGGAATCCACGACATGCGAGTGTGGAGAAGAGCAAACTACAGACCATCTGCTGCAATGCAACCTGAGTCCTGCTACATGCACAATGGAGGACCTTCTTGGAGCAACACCAGAGGCGCTCCAAGTGGTAATCAACTACCAAGCTTGCAATCTTTGTGCTTTGTTTGTTAAAAATGCAATACAACTGTTTATTGTATAAATAAATACACCCCCCCCCCCCGAGTGTAAGATGTCAGGGTTCTCTTTCTAACACCATCAATATTGGGGAGATTTTTTTAAAGCAGGGAAAGACGGAAAACAGATGTATGTAAGGAGGCAGACATATGACATATTAAGATTGGGATTCAAATCCTGGCTCTGAAATTTGAGACAATACCTAAGGCTGCTCCCTACATAGTCTTCACTGCTGTCCATGACATTTGGGTCTGCCTCATAAAATGTGGCAAAAGCATCATTTTCTGTTTTGTCCTGTTTTAAAAAAACAGAGTCCATATAACAGCAAAATAATTTTGTTTGAATTTGGCATTGAGAAGCAAGATCTGAGTTTGCACACTTTCTTGTGCCTTTAAACAGCTGTTGAATGGGCAGAAATTCAGCAGGTGGGGTTTCCTCCTCTGCTGAGAGTCAGTAATGAAAAAATTTTCAACTACCAAGTCTGACAATGCATTTATGCAGCAACTATGCCTTTTTATGAAAGTAGTCCAGAGGCTGGATTGCTTGTCCTCTTATTTCTTTGCTGTTGCATCATTTTGTTTGCGTGAGAAGGAGGAGGCTGATCTTCAATTGCTTGTAGAATTGGACACTGTTGGCATATAGATGTGTTTTCTTACTCATTGCATTACTGCATATTTCATTTGTAAAACCCAGGGGCCTGTAAAACCTTTAAGTCAGGGGACCTCAAACTTTTTAAACAGAGGGCCAGGTCACAGTCCCTCAAACTGTTGGAGGGCTGGTATAATCTGAGTTTGCGCACTTTCTTGTGCCTTTAAACAGCTGTTGAATGGGCAGAAATTCAGCAGGTGGGGTTTTCTCCTTTGCTGAGAGTCAGTAATGACAAAATTTTCAACTACCAAGTCTGACAATGCATTTATGCAGCAACTATGCCTTTTTATGAAAGTAGTCCAGAGGCTGGATTGCTTGAACTCTTATTTCTTTGCTGTTGCATCATTTTGTTTGCGTGAGAAAAATTTGGAAAAAAAGAGCCATGAATGAATTCCTATGCACACTGCACATATCTTATTTGTAGTGCAAAAAAATAATAATTTAATAACAATACAATAATTAAAATGAAGAACAATTCCAACAAATATAAACTTATTAGTATTTCAATGGAAAATGTGGGCCTGCTTTTGGCTGATGAGATAGGATTGTTGTTATTGTTGTTTGCTTTCAAGTGGTTTTAGACTTAGGTTGATCCTGAGTGAGGGCCGGGTAAATGACTTTGGAGGGCTGTATCCTGCCCTTGGGCCTTAGTTTGAGGACCCCTGCTTTAAGTGATCCAAACCTACAGGGATCATTTTATGTAACTGAAATTCAAGTGTGCATGGCTTATGGATATTTTCCGCTTCTAAGTAAGAAAAGAGAAATGAGTATACTGCAGGATTGTGCAGCTGCTGCTGAGGTTCCTGGTGGGATTCAGTGCACATTTACTGGAGAGTAAGAAGAATTATACATTATAGTGGGACTTATTCCAAATATTTATGTATTGGATTGCAGTCTTATTTTTTAATTTTTGTTTTACATTAATTCTTTTCTTTTCTCCCCTTCTTTTCATAAATATCTTTTTAACTGTCAGGGTTTTTTTCCTAGAACCTAAGTGTGCAACTATGCTGATGGGGATTGTATTTCCCATCAGCCCTCACCAATATAAGCACTGCTGTGGCATAATGGAAATTACATTTTTAGAACATCTGGGGGGAATCACAAAATAATAGTTATGAAGTTCCACCCTCAGCAGACAGCAATACACAACTAAAGTACTGAGAGGAGAGCTCACCTGCCCAAGGCCCTCTATTCAACTTTCAACCTGGTCTTACAGTAAATAAATTCTTTACAATCTTTTCCTGTAATTTGAATCTATTGGTTCATGTTCTGGTTTTTAGAATAGCAGAAGACAGATTTGTTCCATCTTCTGTGTGAAACCCTTTAATATTTAATATTAAATTAATAATTATATTTAAATATCTCTCAAGTCACCTCTCAAGCTGTGGAGTGGTGGCGCAGTGGGTTAAACCCCTGTGCCAGCTGGACTGAAGACCGACAGGTTGCAGGTTCAAATCCGGGTAGAGCACAGATGAGCACCCTCTATCAGCTCCAGCTCCTCATGCGGGGACATGAGAGAAGCCTCCCACAAGGATGGTAAAACATTAAAAAAACCCAACATCCAGGCGTCCCTTGGGCAACGTCCTTGCAGACAGCCAATTCTCTCACACCAAAAGCAACTTGCAGTTTCTCTTCACTCCTGACACGACAAAAACAAAACAAAACAAAAAACCTCTCAATCTTTCTCCTCCAAGCTAAACATTGCCAGCTTCCTTTCTAACCAAATTTCTAGGCCTTTTTATCATCTTGATCATTCTTCTCTGGACAAGTTCCTGCTTGGCAGTGACCTAGATTACACAGGTCCTTGAACAATGTTGGGAATTGTGTGACTTTCCAGACTGTGTTGAAGAGCTGGAGACTTTGGCTCATTTTTTTTAATGGATGCTTGAATGCAACCAGCTAACACTGACATCACCTGGATTCTCTTCTGTACAAAATAAGCTGATGTCTATTCTAGCAGGGTGGAAGTAAGCTTCTGTGGAAACAACCAACATAAGAAAGAGGAAGTGTTCTGTTCAGGACTGGATGAGGGGCCCAGGCATAAATTTGCAGGCATAGCAGTTGTCCTTCCCCTTTTGTTTTTAAAATGGTTTGTACAAACCTCTGGTACTCATATTAGCCAGGCTGCCATTAGTCACCTGTTCATGTCACAATATGGAATATGAAAGAGTGGTGAATTGAATCCTGGTTTCCAGAACTGCAGTCCAGTGCTCAAACCGCTAAACCATGATGGCTCTGATTTGCAGCATACTGAAGACAATTATTAAACTTACTCACTCCTTCACTCAGTCATGCTATTTATTATTTCTTGCAAATTTCCAATATCACTGGTAGATAGGCAAGTAGGGCTAGGTATTTTGTAGGCTTGAAATCTAGTGTGAAGTTGAGGTGGTTCATTCCTTGATTTCTCATTTTTCTCTCTCTGCAGATCCTGTACTTCAGGTGCCGTTACATGTGGAAGAGTAAGTCTGCTTTCATTTCTCTTGTGCCCATCTTCGGTTTCTGTAGTTACTACTACAATTTTTTAACCATGTGACAGGGTTAGTAAATGTATTATAAAATTAAAAATGTCAAATTAAACAGAATGTTTAATTCAGATGTAAAGGCCACAATTCTGTCAAGTGAATGTATAGGCAAGAGATAGCTTATGAATGCATGTGGAGAATGGGGTTTCAGTCCATTTACAGTATTCTCCAGCACAGTTCTCTGTGCCAAACTGTTAAAAGCTATTGAGAAAATTTTGTGTGTTACCATGGAGGAAATGAGGACAGAGACTTCTAAACCTTCCAGTTTGCATATGACCACTTTTGTTACCATCTAATGGTACCATCAATTTTTATTTGGTATTGAGTTTATAGTAATGGCTGTTCTATTTTCTGTGGTGTGTCATGTTTTGATACAATCTCTTATCTGTCTCTTTATTGGCACTGAATGTTTGCCATTTGTGTTAGAATCCTTCCTGAGTCCCTCCGGGGAGATAGAGTTGTCTATAAATTTATTATTATTATTATTATTATTATTATTATTATTATTATTATTATTATTATTATTGCGGTACTTCTCAGATTTTGGTCTTCCACAGTTATTTGGACATCAGCTGCCAAAATTCCTAGCTTTCGGCCAAGCAGGCTGGGCTTCTGGGAGTTGAAATCCAAAGTTCAAAGCAAATTTTGCTGGAGGAGCAATGTTTTGGAATTACTGATCTAGTGCATCGCAGAGATTTTTGGATTATGGCCTCCATAGGTTGGGAAAGGAAGCCAAAGTCCTTATGGCCTTTTCCGGCTAATCTATGTATGAAATGCCTTTTGTTCATGCAAAGAGAGACATCTGTTCCTTCTCCCTTCTCGCTGAAACGTTTAGACCGCCTCCACAATATCCAAAACACAATTTTTCAGCTACAGGCAAGTTTTGTGGAAGGCACCTGAGACTTTAGCAGGAAACTAAAGGTGAAAAGGATTGCATTTAGGACTGTGGTGTTTGAATATTTTGGGCTTGCTTGTCATTGCAGCTATGATGGGAAGAATCCTGAGAAGATAGTGCTTCCCAGCATGTTGTCATGTTTAACTGAATCCTCAGCTAGCTGATATTGCCACCTCTTTATTGGATCTTTGTCTTTGTTTTAAGCAACAACCAAAACATTATGGAAGTGATTCATGTACAGACACTCAACCTTGAACCTTGGAAATAAATCCCTGTGAAATCCCCTTATGGCCATAAGTTGGAAACGACTTGAAGGCACATAACAACAACCTCCATGCCAGAAAAAATACAGTTGTTCAAATCTGCTGATAAAAGCTTTAAAAGCTGGTGACCAATAAGTCATGCAGGTTATAGTGAGGTCAAGGAGCAATATTAATTCATTGTTCCCCAGTGGAAAAAATGCATATGATCTAGCTTTCCTGGATCATAATAATTTTTTATGGAGTAATCCTTTTTAGTGGTTATAAACTAATTGTTTAATACTTACTTGGCTATATTATAATTAATTATAGTTCTCCTGGTCTTTTGCTCTTCATATTGAAAGTAAAAGTGTTTACTTTGAATGTCTAAAAGTAGTCAAAGAAATAATTTCTACAGTAATAGGGAACAAATTTCCAGATTCTTTGTTCTACAGAGTTTTCTTTTACAGGAACAATGAAAACAATGAAAGTTACCAGGTTGAAAGATAATATTCATTTCAAAGGGGAAACTGGCTTTGTAAAATAACATTTAAAATATAGAGTTGCTATGACGTTGCTGTTACTAAGCTTTTGTTACCAAGTTAGTCCTGTGTAACACGATTCAGTAATTTAAGGCAGTGGCCTTGTTTGGGTATTAATGTTTTGCTCTGATAATCCATAGTTATTCAAAATGGGAACATGCCCCATGCCCATATGATTATACCTCCCTTCTTTCACATTGATTTGATTCTCCAGAAGCAGCAGTCCCTAAACGTTGGGATATCACATCAGGATCATTGCAATGCTTGAAAGACAAAAGTCTTTTATTGAAATATGTCTTTAGAATTCTAAATTTATTCCAGTAAATGAATATAGATTCTTGGCCATGAAGACAGCATTTATATGTCTGACTAGCCATCCCCTGCCACCCGTTGCTGTTGTCCAGTTTGGTGATCTGGAGAATGAAGTAATTAGAAAGTGTTGGTTTCTAATATATGTAATTTCTTTATGTGGGGAAACAGTATTTCTTGCTCTTTCTTTGTCACTGTTGTTGTCAAGATTGTCTGGTTTGCCTACTCTGGAACATGCAACATATAATTGTCCTTCTTTAGGGGTCCCTTTCAAATCTATGATACTTTATCTCTGAGTGTGTGAATCATATATATTTATCTATATCTATATCTATGACTGGATGGCTCTTTGTCAGGAGGGCTTTGATGACGTTTTCTTGTCCTGGTGAAGGGAGTTGGACTGGGTGGCCCTAAGTATTTTCTGTTGGTCATGGGGGTTCTGTGTGGGAAGTTTGCCCCAATTCTGTTGCTGGTGGGGTTCAGAATGCGTTTTGTTTGTAGGTGAACTATACATCCCAGTAACTACAACTCCCAAATTTCAAGGTCTGTTTTCCCCCAAACTCCATCTGTGTTCATATTTGGGCATATGGAATACTCGTGCCAAGTTTGGTCCAGATCCATCATTGTTTGAGTCCACAATGCTCTCTGGATGTAGGTGAACTACAATTCTCAAACTCAAGGTCAATGCCCACCAAACCCTTCAAGTATTTTCTGTGGGTCATGGGAGTGCCACGTTTGGTTTAATTCTGTTTAATTCCATCATTCATGGGGTTCAGAATGCTCTTTCATTGTAGGTTAACTATAAATCCCAGCAACTACAACTCCCAAATGACAAACTCATTTTTTTAGAGAGATGGTCACTCCTTGGGTTAATAGGTGTCTTGTGGCCAAATTTGGCGGTAATTCGTCCAGCAGTTTTTGAGTTATGTTAATCTCACAAACGAACATTACATTTTTATTTATATAGATAGCAGCACAAGTAAATTAATCAAATAAGACTTCAAGCCAAGTTAAAGTAATTGCATAGAGGATTGTTACAATCTGGTCTTATATGGAGATTATGTGTTTGGTGAAAACAAAGTTGGTGGCTATTTTGTACTGCATTTTCCCCATTAAAAATAGCATATGGTTTTTTTAAAATGGCGATCTTCACAAAGGAGCAAGTTTTGTGTATGACTGTGTTCTCATTTTCACAGATACAGTGCATTAATTACTTTTCTAATAATTTCTTCAGTCCTAGACCAGCATTTCTTCCCGATCCTAACGATGGAAGCCTCTACACACTCGGTGGCAAGAACAATGAAGGCCTGACTGTATGTATAATTGGATCAGACAGTTGTTTCCTTCGTCTCACATAATGAATCCCAAGATCTTTGCAGATGTCACAGGACTTGCCTTTCTGTTAAAACATAGTCTAGTTATTAATATAAAGTGGTCTCTTCTCTTCAGATTTTTTGTGATTTTAAAAATTGTATAAGAGAAGATCTATGCTCAGCCTTCAAATCGCTTTTAAAAACTGATTTTAAAAAACTTCACAAAATGGTAGGGCTTTAATAAATAGAGGTATCTGTCAACGCCCTATGGCAGAGAAGGCAAAATACTTTGTAAAACCACAACTCCCAAAGTTCTACAGCATTGAGCCATGGAAGTTAAAGTGGTGTCAAACGGCATTAGATGTACAGTGTAGGTCCCTACCCAAATGGGACCCCCTTTGCTCAATGTTGAGGCTGTGAAAAAAATGGCAACAATAAAAGGTTTCTGAACATCACCTAGTGGTTGTTTTAGACATTTACATGAATATATTGTGTAGTGTTTACAGTGGGTTCTGCAGAAGATGCTTCAGCTGTTATTCCACAAAAAGGAAAATCTGTTTAGCAAGTATTATAAATGCTGATTTACAGTAAATATTTGGTTTTTATACCTATTGTATATACTTATTAGCACAGTGGTTCTCAACCTGTGGGTCCCCAAGTCTTTTGGCCTACAGCTCCCAGAAATCCCAGCCAGTTTACCAGCTGTTAGCATTTCTGGGAGTTATAGGCCAAAACATCTGGGGACCTAGAGGTTGAGAAACACTTACTAGCATATTTACCTGATGTTGTTTGCTCCCCTGCTTTCATCACTTCTTTTTCTCCATCCCCTCGTGCCTTTCCTCCTTTCCTTTCTTACTTTTCCCAGATTGATATATAACTTGGGCAGTTGGCTAATAAGCTTGTTTATGTGTCAGTGCCAAGCTTAGGATGCCAGTTCCAGGAATGAATACACCCAAGTTGTGATGCCAGTTTGTCTGGACTCCCTGAACCTGGTTTAAAGGCAAGATGGACTGCATTTACATTAAGGAAATTTGCATTCAGCTTCAGGAAAGAGTTCAGTTGGTACTTGCAGTATCTTTTGATGTGGCTGGAACAATGCTTAATGATAGCCTGAAGGAATCAAGCTGTTCGGCAACCTTATGTAGAAAGAAATCCCCCTGTTCCTGGAAAAATTACAGAGCGGTTCTTTTAGTTCCAATATTCCAGTACATGGTGCTTCTGCCATTCCTTTCAAAGTACTTGGAAGTGTTGAGCAGGACAGATATGATCTCCTCACAGATGGTTTTTGTGGGTTTTGTGGTAGTTCTTAAGAAGTACAGTCATGTGCTGAGATAGAGATAAATGCTAACTTCCTTCAAGTTTTTTTCTGCAGTTCTTCCCACTTCTTCATATCATTTTAACAAATAATGTATTTTCTCTCAAATGAGATAGAGATAAATACTAACTTCCTACAAGTTTTTTTCCTGCAGTTCTTCCCACTTCTTCATATCATTTTGACAAATAATGTATTTCCTCTCAAATGCCTCCAGATGAAAATGTTTTTCCAGGTCTCTTGTTTTTCATTTTATTTTTAATTGGATGGTGGTTTATTATATCAGAACGAGAAGGAGGAAATGTGGTCTTGGACTACATTTGCTGTTGGACTACACCTCCCTTCAGCCATCACCATCAGTTATACCAACTAAGGCTGATGGAATAGCAATTGAATAACAGCCCAAGAGGTGACTGTTCCCTATCTCTGCAATGGGCTGCCTGGACATAAATCCAGAGATGGCCAATAACGCAATTTATTTATGTTTTCTGAATATTGTGCGTATATTTTAACATCTCGTGTCATTTAGAATATTTATAATTATGCACAGGAAAGCATATTTTTAAAGTTTTGAGGTATATTTAGTTCCTGAAAGTGGTAGCTATCCTTCATTTTTTTTATCTTCCCACAGCAAAATTAAAATCCTTTCTAAGCTGCCCTCAAATGCACCAAATCTTTTTCCTGTCACCAGTTTCCTGGATCATAATCAATTGCTGCGTATTATCTTTCCACGTAGCACAATCTCCAGGTTTGAAAGATGAAACTTGAAGTGGTTGAGTGATATTAAAAGTTTGAGGATGCCTTTTCAGTTTTTGTTTTCATGTAGACTGTATGTTAGTATGCAGAGATGCAGAACGGTTATACTTGAAGCTCAGCTGTATGGCTTGTAGAAAAAAAATTAAAATCATGGTTTTGGGACCACGCCTTCAGACAGTAGATGTATGTCGCATTGTAGAAGGACATTGACTGGAACGGCGATTTGACTGACAAGACTGTTTTATTGTTTTAATGCTTGTTGATGTATTGTTTTAATTATGAATAATGTTTAATTGTGGTTTTACTATTTTAATTGTTTGTATTGGCATTGTATCGGTGCCCAATGTAAGGCATTGGATTTTGCCATTATTTATTTGTAAACCGCTTTGAGTCTCCCCAGGGGTGAGAATGGCGGTATATAAATACTGTAAATAAATAAATAGATAATAAATCTCTGGTGGATAAAGCCATCTTTACTAGAGTGCCCATGAATGCCCAGGCAGCTTTTAATTGTGGTGCCTGATATTTCACATGTCTCAAGAGGTGAAGTTCATTGTGAGTATGGCCTTAACATTAAACAAAGAGAAAAAAACTGCCTCAGGCAGCTGATGGGATGGGAAATCTTCCATCCTTTCCTATCTGTTGAGGAAGAGCGTTCCTGAATTAGCCAATTGGCTTTAAATGCTCTGGAGAGTATAGCCCCATTACCAAGTAATATTCAACAGGCAGCTGAATTTACTGTGGTTCATGGACTAAGTTTGAGGCAGAGGCACTATTTTTTCCTTTACCCTCGGGAGCAAAACAAGTTAAATAAGCCTACAAATAATAGCATATGGGAAGAGAGTGTTGTTTTTCTAGCATAACATTCAGTTTAGCTTTGCTTTTAAGGGGTAAGAACAAATCTATGGGCCAACCATACTAATTCTTCTTACTGGTCAACTCAAGAGGCCAGTAGATTCCTATGCTTCTATTCTCCCACCTCTCCATCTATCAGAGTGCTAAGTGTTGGTTGTGAGAGGGTGCTGTTTTGGGGAGGCCTTGGTCTCGATCCCGCCTACTTCGCAAGCTCATTTGGCGGGGACGAGAGACAGGGCTTCTCAGTGGTGGCCCCTCGGCTGTGGAACTCCCTCCCTAAGAATATTAGATTGCTCCCCTCTCTCCTGACCTTCCGGAAAAAAGTAAAGACCTGGCTCTTTGAACAAGTTTTTGGAAATACAGCGTTATACATAAGTATGATGCTATGAAAGAGTGAACATGCTAATGGAAAATGAGTTTAACTGGAAGATATTGGTGATTATATGTTTTTAATGTTTTTTATATGGATTTTTATTATGTCATGTTAAATGTTTTAATGGTATTTATGATGTGGCATCAAATTGCTGCCAAATTGTAAGCTGCCTTGAGTCGCCTTCGGGCTGAGAAAGGCGGGATTGAAATACTGTAAATAAATAAATAAATACAACAGCATCCATTGTAAAATTAAACATGGAATTAATGCATGGGATATTTGATTGTAGTAATAGTGGTGATACACAGCAGAAGTGAATTTTCCATCAGTGTTCTTCATACCCTATAGAAAATGGCATTTAACCCCCACCCCAACTCCAAATTTTAAAAAATAAAACATATAAAGGAGAAAATAACAAATGTTGGAAATGTGAAGTTCACGAATGGTCCTACCACCATACGTGGTGAACCTGCAAAAAGACCAAAAAAAGATGGAGACTCTAGTATATTAGGTTAATCAAATAAAAAGGAACATTTTCATGTGCTCAACAATGGAAAAATACAGAAATACCAACTATAAAAGATTGGACAGTGAAGATGTGGAAACCTAAAGAAATAGACAAGTTAACAATTTTGTTGAAGGATAAATCCCTGAACACATTCTTTAAAAAATGGAAACTTTTTTATCAATATATATCTGAGGGAGAATAAAATACTTTATGTATAGGTTCAGAGATATAAACTGTTGAGATACTGATTTGTTAATGTAACAACAAGCAGAAGTAAAACTTAGAGAAACTGACAACAGTTTCAAATTCATTTGTGTATACATATTTCAGTTTTAGTGTTACAGGCAGTTTGCCCAAGTTATGAACTTGTCTATAAGTTTGTTCTTAAGTTGAATTTATTTGTAAGTCTGAACGGGTATATTTTTTCAGTATAATTCTAGTCAAAGATATGTATGTATGTGCAAGCTTTGGATAGCATAGGGAAGGGTGAACACCCCTGTGGTGTTTCCTTTGCTCCCAGTGCCCCTGTTCAGAAGATTTCACCACACTTTCTGTCTCTGTGATAATTGGATTTTGGAAAAAGAAAATTGTTGTGGAAACAAGGATTGGTGAAAAAGCTTCAGTGGAGACACTTATTTCCCATCATAACACTTCCGGGAGTGGATTACCTTTGTGGGGGGTAGATTTTTGTCACTTGGTGTTGTCTCACCCCCGTTCTTAACAATGCGTCTTTTGTAAGTCTGATGTTTATAACTTGGGGACTATTTTGAAGGGAAAAAAATGAGTACTTAGTTACAGAGTTGATATGTAAGTGTATTGTAAGTGTAAGTATTATTGGTTTCTCTGTTTGTGGTTTTATGTAAAAAATTTGAATGAAAAAGTATTAGCATTACCTAGAGAAGATTATGGGATTTTCTAGGTCCTCCTATCCACAACTCTATAGTTTACTGGCTGTGGAAGTAAGCTAATTTCATGATATCCAGTCATAGCCATGGTTTCAGTTAGGGCCGAAACCGAGGTGGAGCTGAAAACATAGCCCCTGAAGATACAGGCTTCTTCCTCTATATGTATTTTCAGTTATGAAATGTTAGATATGTGGAAAGGCTTTAGTTTTATGCAGACATGAAAATCCAACATGGATCAGGCACATTATGCCTTTCCTCACAGGGTCCCCACTCTCTCTGACATCCATGAATGAGACTTAACATTTAAATATTAGGCCAATGCACCTACATTTTTAGTCCCTGGCTCTGTATGCATCTTGCAGGAGTGATATGGAGACTAAAGATGAGGCATGTGCATTCTCAAAGTATGCTCCGTGGAACCCTTGAGGTTCTGCAAAACATACTGAGAGGATCTGTGGTTTCCTCCCACTTCCTCCTCCTATAAGTTTTCCCTCTTCTTTCCTGCTTCACCTTGCCTCCCTCTCTGCCTATAGCTTTTTTCTTTTGTCTTCCTTGCATTCAAAACCCTATTTCCCTCCTGTTGCTCAGGGGATGGTTTGATTGTGCTTTTCCTGAATGGCAAAAGGGAGTTGAACTGGTTAACACTTGGGGATTCAGCTCCTGTTGTTGTTGTTGTTGTTACGAAGACGGAGTGGCTATCTGTTGAGGGTGTTTTGATTGTGCGTTTCCTGCATGGCAGAAGGGGGTGGACCGGATGGCTCCTGATGTCTTCCACTGAAATACTGTTAAGTTTATGTTTGTTAATATTGTTCTTCATTTAAAATATTGTATTGTTCTTTCTTTCATTTTTTGCACTACAAACAAGATATTTGCAGTGTGCATAGAAATTTGTTAATATTATTTTCCAATTATTTCACATACTCTCCATTCATTTGCCACTGGCCTTTGCTGGCCTGACAAATTTTAAAATGCAATGCGTCAAAACGTTTGCCCATGCCTGATATATATATACATAATATATAATGTAATGTATAATATATAAACATTATTTGAGGCTCCACAAAAAAGGGCTCCGTGGCTAAATAAGTTTGAGAACCCCTTTCTATAACATTGTGTAAAACATCCAGTGGAGGATTAAGAGGACTCCATGTGTGTTTCCCAAGTGGTCCCAATCCCCTCCAGTGTCTGGAATTTGAACTAACACCCGTATCTTATTTATATATTTATTTATGAATTAATTAAAGGCGTCTTGCCATTCAGTATTAGAGAGATTGAGCCATAAACGTGTGATAGGTACAGTGCTGATCTTTGCTGGGGACAGGCCCAGCAGGATTCGATTCCGGGGGGGGGGGCTGTGTCTGAGTGAAAGAGGGTCTACCCTAGCAAACCTTTTGTACCATTACCCCAATACCCCCATGCATATGGGATATATTGAGTATGGTGATCAGATCATGATATGAATAAACATAACAGTTTAAATAATGCACCAGTAAGGCCTTTTTGTGACCCCCCCCCCCCCCCGCTACATGCCTGGCTAGGGAGATCAGGAGTTAAATCTCTGATTGGCTATGAAACTCATATTGGACTGCTTCTTATCTCTTAAAGTCTCACACAGGGTTATGTGTGTGTATTGTGATGATAAATTTAGAGGACAGACTTATGTGCTCCTGGTTTCCATGGAGGAAGAGCCTAATGAAAAAAACCATAAAAATTCACGTGTTTCCATTTGGTGCTAAGATATAATTTATTGTTGATACTTTTGATTCAATATTTCTTCAGTTTGTGTTAGCACATGTAGGATGCTTGGAAGTGGGTAGACCCAAAATTATCATCACCTTCTCTTTTTTTAACCAGAAATACATTTTTTCAATATTTGCAGAAGTAATATCTGTTTCTTGTTCCTACATTTTATTCTTTAAAATTGAAAGTAAATCAGCATTTATAATACAAAATCACAACTGTTTGATTCCACTTTAATTGTCATGGCAACAGCCTATGGAAGCCTTAAGAGTTTTCCACCAGAGAGCCCCTCCACTGCCTTTGACCAAATTACAAACCATCCAGAACATCATTGGAAACAGGCCTTATCCGTGATTGTGGAATCATATCACCATTATTGTGTTATGTGAAAGGAGCCTAAGATACTGTTAAGTAAATGGGGATAAGGTTGTCATATATGATAAAACTGGTGAGGGGCAGAGATGAGAAACTTTCAACAAATAGAATGCGGGGCTAAATAGGGGGAAAGCAAATTGAAGGAGAATAGAACACTTTCCCCTTAAGAACAATAGCATTACATTTAGTTATAGTGTTGGTAAGCTATAGTGATGGTAAATTAAGAGCAGTTGCACTGATACAAATCTTTGTCATGACGCAGAGTGGATGCAGTCTAGAGATAATTGAAAATGAGATTGACGTACATGGAACTGCTAAAGTAGGCAGTTCCTTGATCTCTTTCATTTGATGTGACCTGATGCTTAGGGGAAAAAAGGTCTGCATATTAATATTTATCTTGCAAAAAGTACTGGATGTAATTTTAAGGTGGTTTGCATTCATATTTTGTGTTCAATTAAGATGGCTAATATTTGTGTTCTAGAAACTGCCATTCACCATCCCTGAACTAGTCCAAGCGTCCCCTTGTCGCAGTTCAGATGGAATTCTATACATGGGTATGGATCAATTTTCTACCTTAAAAGTAAAACTATGGGTTTTTTTTCAGGATGTTGCCACACAAGTACAAATATTTTTGTTTCTAATTGTGCAAATCCCACCTATACCTGTAACTTTTGTATACTCCCTCTTGATGTTTTCTGATATCTAAATTAGTTTTTAATTCCTTACAAAAATAATCTGTCTTCAGTAGTCTATTGTACAGGACATTGCTTTGTTATTGTCCTTTATATCAGTTGAACTAGATTCTTACCTTAGTCACACTGCTGAGATCTATTTCTGTGCAGCAGTTATGTATTTTTTTAGATGTTTTGGGATTGAAGTTTCTTATCAGAATTGAAGATGGGAATTGAGCTGCTTTTCTGCTTTATAGGCCTAAATTCCCTTGTGCTGTTTGGAGCATGAAAAGAAAAGAGATTATAAAGCACACCTCTCTGTTAAATGACATTTTGAATAGCCAGTTTCTGGCTGGGACTTGGGGAAAATTATACTTTCAGAGTCAACTTTCATGATACTCAATGATGATATTTCCTATTAGGGAAGAAGCAGGATAGCTGGTATGTGGTAGACCTTGCAACAGGGGAAAAACAGCAGACGCTAACCTCTTCATTTGCTGAAAGTCTTTGCCCTTCTACTTCTCTCCTGTATCTTGGCCGCACAGGTGAGTTGTTTTCCTCATTTAATCCAGTCAGAAGGTCATCCTGTCAAGCCAGGAAGGCTTGAAAGGGATACGCTCAGGTCATGAGGTTTATGTAACCTCACAAGGTGAAGGGTTTACAGTAAAAAAATAATTAACTTACGCATAACAATAGGAAGGGCAGTTTTCTGCAGGGACTCTGTGAAGTGCACAATAGGTGCATAAATCATTGTCTTTAAGTGACTTCTTTACCATTACGTTTTATGCCACATCGTTTATTCAAAAATCGCTGCCTACCTATGACTTTTTTGCCAGGGTGAGATAAACATACGCACAGCCATGCTGAATCAAACTGTGCTCTAATCCATTTCTAACTGTGGTTAGTCAGCTGATCTCAGGACTTCCCCAGTTAGGATGTGAAGACTTTTCCACACTGCTATCCTATACCATCTGAAACCAAACTTTGTTTGAAGATAGAGTTTTGTGAGAAGATCTCGTTCTTTGGTTTTTTTTAAACGAATTTTTATTTTTACAATACAAAAAATACATACCGTGCACACACAAATCATTTACAATTCCCACCACCAACACGAAGATTATTTTCTTTCACATGTTCATTTCTATTTGAGACAATCATTATATCTTTAACTATACATTTCCATCCTATACTATACTAGTATACTATATAACATTTGTATCTTATTTCTTATGGCTTGATCTCTGGAATGATTCATAATATAGTTCTTTATCTTTATCCATCTATCTTGGAGCCCCTGGTGGAGCAGTGGGTTAAACCCCTGTGCCGGAAGGACTGAAGACCGATAGGTCACAGGTTCGAATCCGGGGAGAGGCGGATGAGCTCCCTCTACCAGCTCCAGCTCCTCATACGGGGACATGAGAAAAGCCTCCCACAAGGATGATAAAGCATCAAAATCATCTGGGCGTTCCCTGGGCAACGTCCTTGCAGACGGCCAATTCTCTCACACCAGAAGTGACTTGCAGATTCTGAAGTCTCTCCTGACACGACAAAAAAAATCCATCTATCTTCCATTTCTCTCATTCTATTTTCATTGATATTTAAATCATTTAATTTCACATTCATAATTTCAAATTCCATTTGCTCCACCAAATATTGATACCATTTATTTACTCTCCATTTTGATTTATCTTTCCACCCTAATACTATTACTGCTTGTGCACTTTCTATTATTGCTTCTTTTATTTCCCTTTTATTTCCCATTTCCTCTCTTTTCCCTAATACCGCCATTTCCTTTGTTATGATCCACTTATTTCCTAGTATTTTATTTGACTCGCCGTTGGGTTCGCCTCCTTCGTGTTATATCATAAGAATGCAAAAAAAAAAAAAAAAGCCATGTTGGTTCTGGTCAGATTCATAGCTAGTCCAGCATTATGTTCCATAAGTGGTGATCAGGTACCAATGGGAAGTGCCATGGTGCCCTTCATGTCCCTGGTATTAAGTGTCATACTTCCTCTTCTGTGAGTGATAATGTGCATGACATTTTGTCTAGTGTTCACTGAGAGAGTTATGCTCTGTGAAATTTCTTTTTAACAGAATATACCATCACCATGTACGATACCAAGAGTAAGGAGGTCCGCTGGAATGCCACGTATTTTGACTACGCAGCCACTTTGCCAGATGAAGACGTCCAATATAGTAAGAATGTTGGTCCTTACTACCAGGCTCTAATGCTACTATGACATGTTTTTCATAGACCTGAATGAGCAAAGACTCAATATGATTTTTCGTGTCTGTCTCCATCCCAGAAATGTCTCACTTTGCATCAAATGGAGATGGACTAGTGGTGACTGTGGACAGCGAGTCAGGGGATGTCCTGTGGATCCAGAATTATGGCTCTCCAGTTGTTGCTTTTTACATCTGGCAAAGGGAAGGACTGTGGAAAGTCATGCACACCAATGTGGGGGTGGAAACCCTTCGCTACCTGACCTTCATGTCTGGTGAAGTTGGGCGCATCACTAAGTGGAAGTATCCATTCCCAAAAGAAACAGAGGCCAAAAGCAAATTGATGTGAGTCTCTCTCTCTGATGTTCTGATGTTTTAAAAAATCTTCTTTTATGAGCTGGATTGTATTATTTTAGATAGGAATGGAGATACATATTTTCACTGTACTTTCTCATTGCCTACACACCGTCTGCAGTTTTTATAATAATTCTACACTGTTACGCTGTGGAAGGACATTCTCCTTTGACAGAAATTGAAATGTTTACAGAACCTTTCCATAGAATTGTTTTTACTATCATAGTTGAATCTTACTTTTTAAAGCCTAATCAGCTTTACTCTTTCCACTTTAAATCTGCTACACTGTTATTCTAGATCAGGGCTTCTTACATCTTTCCACTCGAGACCCCTTTTCAAGTAAAAAACTTTTGTGTGACCCCAAGTATATAAAATAGGTCTAAAAACCAAATATTTACTGATAATAATAATAATCTCATTCGAGTTTTTTAACATTTTATCCTGCACATGTGGCCAGCCCATTGTCATTGTGATTGTGTTTATTTGTAATGTTATTTTGTTACTGTATTCATATGTTTTTTAATGTAATTTTGATGCTGTTGCTTGTTGCTTATGTTTTGGTTTTATCTTGCTGTAATATGTTGTCCGGGCTTGGCCTCATGTAAGCCACCCCGAGTCCCCGTTGGGGAGATGGTGGCGGGGTATAAATAAAGATGATGATGATTATTTGCAAGGCTTGCTATACAGGCCGATTTCCCTTTTTATGAAGTACAGCATCTTCTGCAGAGCCCACTGTAAGCACTCCACAGCAAATTTGTATACATGTCTAAGGCAAACTTTTACTGTTACCAATTTTTGTGATCCCAACATTGAGCTAAGGGGACCCCATTTGGAATCAGGACCTACAGTTTAACAAGCAATATTCTAGACCAGTTAGGGGAATTATGCAGCTGCAGATGTTGTTGAGTTGCAGCTCTATCCATCATAGTGAATGGTGAGGAATGCTGGGAGATGTGATACAGCTTGTGGAGGGCTGCACAATTCCTATGTCTACTCTAAATGGTCTACTCTAAATGATCCAAAAAAAGAAATCCCGAGTTTGATTTCTGCAGCAGGAATATTTCATGGGGTGAGGCTCCCATACCCAATTAAGCATATTGAAACTCCTGGCAAAATTGTGACATTTCCTTTCACTTCTCTAGACTAGCATTGGGGAGAGTTGTGTGAACATTTCATCTGCTTTCATGCTGTGTATTTCCTCCCATTATTGAGGTGTATTGCTTACCTCTTTTTAAAACAGCAGCTAGGATTGAAATACCTGCTTCTGTGTGTGAAAAGTGTTTCTAGAGCAGTGGTTCTCAACATTTGGGTCCCCAGATGTTTTGGCCTTCAGCTCCCAGAAATCTAACAGCTGGTAAACTGGTTGGGATTTCTGGAAGTTGTAGGCCAAAACACCTGGGGACCCACAGGTTGAGAACCACTGTTCTAGAGCAAAAGAGGCCTCACATTTGATAATAAATTGATGTCTCATTTGTGGTCTGGTATGGCATCTGCTTCCCAAGAAGCACACCATATTTATAAGTACTGCCGTACTAATATCTGCACAGGCAAAAGTAGGGTTTATTTATCATGTCAGGAGCAAACCAAACAGTTATATTGCATTTTTAACAAACAAACAAACAAAACACAAAGTTTGCAAGCTTGGTAGTTGATTAAATGTCATTTGACCACTAGCTGGCCACTTGGAGTGCCTCTGGTGTTATTATAAGAAGGTCCTCCATTGTGCAAAAGTAGGAGAAGGTAGGTTTAATGATCCTCCGTCCATTTCAGTATACACTCAAACTTATTTCCCACTTCTCAATGAATGGGAGCAGTGTCTAGTAGTTTCTTTAGGCAGGCTATCTTTCACAGAGATTATGAGAAACAGGAATTGTATTTCTTAAAAACAGCAGTGCTCTTTCACAATAATGTCATATATTTCCGGTTGTCCAGTTGGCTTGGCAGTATCTGTAGCTATTGAAAATTGAGGGAGATGGAAATCATAACACTGCCTTTCTGACTGTCATTTACTATGCTTCTAGGCCAACACTTTATGTCGGCAAACATTCCACCGGCCTCTATGCATCACCATCAATGGTCCATGAAGGAGTGGCTATTATGGTAAGTAGCTCTGTGTTCCCATTGTGCCATCCCTTTTGCAATATGGGAATCTGAACTCCTTCCCATATTTTTTCAGTTTGGATTTTTGTTTGCTTTAACTACTGCTTAAAATGTCTATTCATGAGATGGGTTTTTCCCTCATCATTCAGCTAGTTAAATTGTGTAAAGAGATTGGAGGAAAGGAATCAACACGGACAAGTTAAATAGGGGGGAAATTCTGACTGAGATCCTGCATTATCAGCACAACTATGAAGACATGAGATCTGTCATTGGCATTACATCTGAAGATGCCATACATCACACTCAAAACATGCTCTTTCAGTCAGGCCATGCTCCAACCAAAGAGTTTCCAGCTTTTTGAGTATTGTATCCTTGGAAATAATATTTGAAGTGTTCTTGTAGTAATAGGGCCATATTGAAGACAGGAAGCAGCAGACAGACCTCTTGGGGGGAGATAGCACAGCTGCTTTGGTCAAGACAACTGAAATTATGGTAGCACATCAGAAATGCTTCAGTCGGGGTACTGCCTCATGAAATCTCATTAACAATAATAAATATCCCAAATGTCAGCAGTTACAAGATAGTAAGTCCTTCTTTGAATCTTGTAACTGCTGTGCAGGATGCCAACTGCAGTTATAAATGGATGATTGGAAGCTCTAAGATCGTCCGGGGAGGCCCTCCTCTCGGTCCCACTACCATCTCACGTGCGGCTGGTGGCCCCCCGCCTCTGGAATGGCCTTCCAAATGAAATAAGACAGGCCCCATCCCTCCCCTCCTTTTGTAAGAGCTTGAAGACTTGGTGGTTTCAACAAGCCTTTGAAAATGACCAGTTCTAACTCAGCTCTACACATTGTTGAATACGGCCTTATTCTTCCTACCAATTACCCAGATTCTTTCCTCTACTTGGCCCCGGAATGAACAGCCACAGACCCGTACCTAATATTATTGTTGCCTGCCATAGCATTGCACTTAATTCCCAGGCCCCCTAGAATTTTTGGGTTTGCACAAATCTTGGCCTGGTCTTTTAAATTTTTTAATTGCCTTGAACAGGAAAGATTACTTTTAATATATGTGTGTTATGGCGACAATTTTTATGCTTATATTTTGTTTTGTTAATCTTATGGTTATGTTGTTTTTTTTACTTTGTATGTTTTGTGATGTTACCTGGGAACCGCTCTGAGATGAGATGGAGATGGAGTGGTATATAAATAATAATAATAATAATAATAATTATTATTATTATTATTATTATTATTATTTGTTGCCTGGACAGTTGGATGGGTGGATGGGCAGATAGATGGACAGGTAGATAGATAGTTGCAGTTCTGCCACTGTAATGCCAACGAATGAATGATTTTGTATCATTTTACTTTGAAAATGTCTCCCAAAGGCGCATCTAAACATAAGCATAGTATCTTACCAAAGAGAAATGCTAATATAAGGCACAGGAATTGATCTGTCTCAGTACGTTGGGCTAAAAATCTATGTGCAGTGCCCAACCTTGAATTAATAATCCAAAGTACCAATAAAATATTTGAATTTACCATCTGGGTGCTTTATCTTAGGTCAATAATGGCCTTCGTTTATGATGTAAAATCTTTTGGCTTCTTATCTGTTTGCCAGCAATGTAATGGAGACTTTCATTCATCCGTTTAAATACAATCGTGAGTGAGTGTGGAACATAATGTGAAATTAAACCCTAATGAACATTGTTGAACTCTTTTTGTTTAACTTTGTGAAAGCCAGCTGCTGCATTATTGTGTCCAAAGAACAGTAATGACATATTTCTCTTTCCCTTTAGCCCCGTGGAAGTCCCATACCTCTGATAGAGGGTCCGAAAACACAAGGTGTTACCATTGAAGAGTGTGTTATCACCCCAAGCACTGATCTGAAATTTTCATCTGGATTTAAACGAAAGAACAGTCTCCATTATTTAAGGAACCACTGGCTTTTAATAGGTACTAGGAAGAAACCATCCAACTTCTTCTGTGTTATATTGCCCTCTAGTGGAAAACAAAGCAAAGTTAAGCTAGGGAGTAAACTGGTGAAACATGGTGATCAGAAACTTGTTGGGGACTTAGTTATGTTAATGGACTTATATATGTGGGGATTTGAATTTCACAGTTGCCTAATGTCCATATCGACGGTTTTTTTCATGTCAGGAGAAACTGCAAGTTACTTCTGGTGTGAGAGAATTCGCCGTTTGCAAGGACGTTTACCAGGGGACGCCTGGGTGTTTTACCATCCTGTGGGAGGTTTCTCTCATGTCCCCGCATGAGAAGCTAGAGCTGATAGACAGTAGCTCACCCTGCTCCCCAGATTTAAATTGGCGATCTTTCAGTCAGCAATCCTACCGGCACAAGGGTTTAACCCACTGCGTCACCGGGGGCTTCTCATTCAGTAGAAGCATACTGTTGCATTACTATCTAGCACAGACAGCAAAGGGTCCAGTGTACTGTGGGACCAGGGTGTATTGGCCCTGGTGTGCCTTGAATCAGTCCCAATACACATTGGACATCAGGGCACACAGAACACTCTTGCTTACATTCTACTATACATCTTTGCAATTCAATAAAGTGCTTTTTTTTTCATTCCGCTACATGTTAGGTGAGATGTCATAAAGGATTTTGATGATTATTAATACAATCAGCCCACCACATTTGTAAAATTGTCTTTGCGGATTTAGTTAATCATGAATTTGATTAAATTTTATCTCTTAAGAATTTCTAGGTCCTCCAGTGTGAAGTTATGGTCAACTTCCATTGGAAATTGGGGCCACAAAGTGGAGTCCACAACATGTGAGTGTGGAGAAGAAAAAACCACAGACCACTTATTACAATGCAGTCTGAGTCCTGCCACATGCACAGTGGAGGACCTTCTTATAGCAATACCAAAGGAACTCCCAGTGGCCAGCTACTGGTCAAAGGATGTTTAATATAATACCAAGTGTCTTAACTTTGTGTTTTTTAAAAATACATTACAACTGTACCCTTGGTTCGCTCCTGATACAATAAATAAATTGGAAATTGACCTTAAGGTCCTGTTGAAGGGCCTACAGATTCCTAGAGAGGTATTCTCTCAGGTTAAACTAAAATAACATTTTTGTTCATGGTTTTTCACTTTTACGAGGGTCCTGTGGCCCTTACCTTAGCAAACATAGAGGGCTGGTTGTATTTTCAATTATGACAAAGTATTTTTTTCCACTTTTTAATAAATAAGAGGTGGCAAATGCTTTAAAGAAGGAATAATATAATTTTATTTTGTATGGATTTGTTATCTGTTAGCTCCCTGGTGGCGCAGTGGGTTAAACTGCGGAGCTGCTGAACTTGCTGATTAAAAGGTTGGCAGTTCGAATCCAGGGAGTGGGGTGAGCTCCCGCTGTTAGGCCCAGCTTCTGCCAACCTAGAAGTTTGAAAACATGCAATTGTGAGTAAATTAATAAGTACCACCTTGGTGGGAAGATAACAGCACTCCATGCAGCCATGCTGGCCCCATGACCTTGGAGGTGTCTACGGACAATGCCAGCTCTTCGTCTTAGAAATGGAGATGAGCACCACCCTCCAGAGTCGGATACGACTAGATTTAATGTCAGGGGAAACCTTTACCTTTGTTAGCAACAGTGTACTTCTAAGGTTTTGATTTTAGAATCTAAAGTTATATACATAAGAATGAAAGTGTGAATTAAAGCTTGAATGAGTAGGCATTTTGATTCTGTGTGCCATCTGTGCAGTAGTTTACAGATTAGAAAGTACTTAATTTTATTGTGCTTTGAAGTCCAAAACATACAAGTATTTCACTTATAAAATCTGACTGCTACTGTAGAGTGTAGTGATACTATTACCTTTCAGCAGGAATTAGACAAACTCAAAAAGGAGAAGAAAGAAATGTGGAGTGCTTAAGTTATTGAAAGAAGACAGTTCATACAGTCTCTCCTATGGTAGCTAGGGCTCATGGGAGTTGCAGTCCAATAAATCTAAAACACTTTAACCAATTAAAACATCAGATAAAACAAATAACAACACAATTGAAAGCAATATAAAAACAATGCGGCTGAAAGAAACATAGCTGAGGTACAGATAGGGCTAGTGTCGCCATTATGTCCTTCTTGTAATCATCAGGGAAACCGATTACTACTGGAAAAAGAATAGTTAATAGACTATTAATAGACTGTTGACACCAGTTCCTCAAGATGTCGTATTTTCAGGCCATTTAACTATAGCCCATTTGATGTTATTTGACCATTCCTTTTAACTGAGAGTAACAAAAACCATCTTTCTCTTTGAAGGACACCATGAGACACCATTATCAGCTCCAACCAAGATCCTCGAGAAATTCCCTAGCAATTTGCCAAAGCGACAGGAAAATGTGATCCCAGCAGAATCAGACAAATCTGCTTTTGAAGAGGTTTGTGAATAAATATGGGTTTGTTAACACATTCCTTTGGGAAGTAGCAGCATGGAGTTCATCATGTGCATTTTTTTCAAAAGGGGAATAGGTGAGAGTGAATAGAGTAGGAGTTGTGTATTTTAGATCTCATGGCCCTCTTACTCAAGTTACAGAATGAACTCTTTGAGATGCATTTAGAAAAGTCAAATCAAAGAGTAATATGTTTGTTTAGAAATCACATTCTTTTCCTGCCCAAACACTTTGTACTTTGGGACATTTTCTGTTCTCTGTGCTAGATTTCTGTAAATTTGTTTTGTGTTATAAACTGAGTGTTTTTTGTGTGCTATTTTGATTTGAGCTGTGGAATTCTCCATTGTTAAATTTTGAGACCCACCTTGGTTGGTTAACATGCAATGTGAATGACTAGACACACAGCATGGATATGCCAATAATTGTGGTTTCCATTCAAACTTTGGCACTAATACAGTCTCTGGTCCATTTAGGCAATTGATATAACTGGGAGTTCAACGGAAGACTTGCCTCCTCCTCCGCCAAAAAACACCGGAGAGACACCCAGCCAGACCAGCCCCCGAACAGAAGATCCTGTCGACTCCATACTGAAAGACATGGCCACAGTCATCCTGAGCACCTTCTTACTCATTGGCTGGGTGGCCTTTGTCATCACATATCCATTGGTAATGGGCTCATTTTGGGTATTCACCATTATTGTGCAGGGGCCAGATTGCAACAGTTTTACATGCAGTAAAGTCCAGTAAATGCAGAAGGACCCTTGAAGCTGAGTCATGGACTGGCTTAGAGCAGGGTTCCTTAAACATTTCCCACACACAACCCCTTTCCACCCAGGAAAATGTTATGTGACCCCATGTATATCTATATCTACATTTATATATAAATGTAATGTCCATTTGTGGGATTAACATAACTCAAAAACCACTGGATGAATTGGATGAATTGACGTCAAATTTGGACAGCATACACCTAACAACCCAATGAGTGATCATCACTCAAACCCCCCCCAAAAAAAAAAAAAAGAAAAGAAAGGGAATTTAAAACCCAAACATGATCAAACAAGGTACAGCGCATGCGTGAAAATGACCCACTGGCCCCTCCCCCTCCTGCACGAGGGGAAAAAAACAAACAGCTGCAGGGAGCATTGAATGCTACAGTGGGCTGGGCAGGCAGACCACTGGGCTCCATGTCAACCACTTCGTGTTTTTTAAGGGAGGAAGAAGGAAAGTATAATTAATAAAAAGGACATTACAGTTAAGTGACCCATTTATTGCGTCTTTACCTAAAAATAGCATTCCGTGGATTTTGAGGTCTTTCTTTGAAAGTTCGTGCAGATAGTATAACTTGCTATAATACAGAGTTTGGGAAGAAATCTAAATCTAATGCTGCTTATTTCATAGCTTGTTCACTACAGCACTGTATTTGCTGGGTGATGAACCCATATATTTGAAATAGTAATAATACATTTATTTTACTTAGAATTATAAAATTTAGTCAACTTAGGTGGGTGGTTTAAAGACCAAAAAATCACAACATACACAGTCTCTGCGACCACCAATAAGCGTAGTCATAAAAGAAAACAAAAAGTAACTTACACTGCAGTTGGAGATTGAGGCTGTATTCAGGTGATGACTCCCCACATACAGGGGTCCTCAAACTAAGGCCCGGGGGCCGAATGCGGCCCTCCAAGGTCATTTACCCGGCCCTCGCTTAGGGTCAACATAAGTTTGTAACGACTTGAAAGCACACAACAACAACAACAACCCTATCTCATCAGCCAAAAGCAGGCCCACACTTCCCATTGAAATACTAATAAATTTATATTTGTTAAAATTATTCATCATTTTAATTATTGCATTGTTTTTAAGTGGTTTTTGCACTACAAATAAGATATGTGTAGTGTGCATAGGAATTCATTCATGTTTTTTTCGAATTATAATCCGGCCCTCCAACAGTTTGAGGGACTGTGACCTGGCCCTCTGCTTAAAAAGTTTGTGGACCCCTGTCCCACAAGATGACAGCTCAAAAAATGATACACGTTTGTTCTCAGTCTCAGTTAACCACATATTACTATTATAGGTTATCCACCAACTACTGGTACAGATTAAAAGCACAAATATGGTTAATTGTCATGATGGTTTGGAAACAGCTTGGCTTCCTAACATGTAGTTTGATGTAGACATGTTTAAAACAAACCATAGTTAAGATTACTCCCATTTTGTCTGGTTTGGTGAAGACAATGATGTATTAAAAGGAGAAAGAATTAGCGGAATGTGTGAACCAAAGTTCCCCTCATGGTAGATGATGTTTTGTTGTGATTCCAGAATGCTTAAAACAATCAAAACATTGTTGAAAATGATTCCTTCCTCCCTTCAGAGTGTACATCATCAGCAACAGCGACAACATCAGCACTTCCAGAGACAGCTGGAAGAGAAGATTCAGTTGCTGAAGCAGCAACCCTTCAGTCCTGCCCTGGAGTTGCCCCCCGAAGGAGAGTCTTTGGAGGGTCCCTGCACCAGGCCAGAGGGCTCTGCCACCAGCTCCCCAAACCTGTCCCCAAAAGCATCAAACCACTCTGCATACTCCAATGTCTCTGCCTCTGATGCGGGAAGTTGCCTTTCCACTGAACAAGAAGAAGGTGGGAACATGAATCCAACTTCTTCATTTAGTGGGATTAAGAGTGTTTTAAGATCAAGGCCAGTAGTGTCAAACTTGCGGCCCTCCAGGTGTTTTGGACTATAGCTTCTGAAATTCCTGACCATTAGACAAGCAGGCTGGGGCTTCTGGGAGATGGAGGCCCAAACACCTGGAGGGCCACAAGTTTGACACCTGTGATCTAAGCAAATACAGCTGAGAAGCCACAAACAGCCACATAGCATGAGTGCTTTTCATACCCAAGTTCTTACTAATCCATTTTAAAATATTAGGTCTTAATTGCATGCAGCTGCACGCTTCTTCTATAAAGCTGAATTGGTTTACCTTGTGTGATTTTTTATTGAGTTTGTTATCCTATACAGGCAGTCCCCAAGTTCTGAACAAGATAGGTTCGGTAGGTTTGATCCAGCCATACAAACACACACACTGCACACACGCATGCATGCTTTGAATAGCATAGGGAAGGGTTAAACACCCTCATGGTATTTGTTTTGCTATCTGATCAGAAGATTTCACCTCACTTTCTATCCCTGTAATAATTGGATTTTGTAAAATTTGGCTTGTTGTGGAAACAAGGATTGGTGAGAAAGTCCAGTGGAGACCCCTTTCCCCCAAGATAACTCTTTTAGAAGTGAATTTTCCTTCCAAGGGGTAGATCTCTGACTTCCTGTTGTCTCACCCCTGTTTTTATCTATGAGTCATTACTCTTACTAATTAAATATTGGCTGGGATTCTCTTAGTCAGATACAATGTCAAAAAGGACTCTTATTCTTCTTTACATTTATGGTTGTAAATGCCATCAGAAACCCACCTTAAAATGCAGTCAGCAACACATTGAAGTGGAGTTCTGTTCTGCTGGTGAATGGGTCACTGAAGGGATACCTTTCCAGCCCTTTCCTTCCAATGAGTGGATCCCTGCTTTTGGTTGGTACACTGCTACTCACTGGTGTTAGATAGAGGGCTGGAGGTGAAACCCTTCAGTTGCCTGCTTGCCAGTGTAAAACTCCATCCCTTGATGCAATTGTCATATTTTAAAGTATGTTTCAGGAGTCTGGTAGGGAAAAGGAGCATAGCCACAACACTGGTTTTGGAGGATCTCATCCTAATGTTACCTGGCAACAGGTTTAGAAGTAATCCATGGGGCTACCTGATACTATAGATGCCTGAAAAATGCATTATGTGATATAGTTTTCTTTCCCTCTTCCCCTTTTTCTTTTGTTGGCTAGATGGGAGCACAAGCACAATAGTGGTTGGAAAGATTACTTTTAACCCAAAAGATGTACTTGGACATGGAGCTGAAGGAACCATTGTTTATAGGTAAAGCACAAGACAAAAAAGATGTGCTGAAATAGCCAGTATTTATTTCTTTGTTGTACTTGTGGCAAATGAAGCATGAATCAGGCAGCTCTTTTAATGTGTGCCTACTCTGTGTGCGTGTGTGTGTATTCAAAGACAATATCCTGCATTCATTATTTTTAGCCAGAATTTGGAGACGATTCAGTGAGGGGAAGTTGTTGTCAGTACCATATTTCACTGCATAATGGGTGTGTTCTATGCCAAATGTTTTGCAAAAAAAAAAAAAAAAAGGAGGGCACCATTATGTGAAGAAAAAATGTGCCTTAGATCCTCCAGTTTCTGTATTTTGTTTTTGTTTTTTAAAAAATAAACTGAAGAGGACAGCCCCAGCCAGCTCTGTTTCTCTTTTTTTTTTTTTTTTTTTTTTAAATCCCTAACTTAGACCCGTCGCAAACTAGGTTCCTGCGGGAGAAAACCTTGCTAGCACGTCCCTGACGTCACGAGACTCCGCCTCTCGCCCCGCCCCTTTCTCCACCCCTTTCTCCGTGCGAGAGTGGTTTTTCCTTTGCTAGGGCAGCATTGCCAGCGTACTCTCTCAGTTGGCAGAATTCAACTGAGAGAAAATGCGGGCAATGCTGCCCTAGCAAAGGAAAAACCACGCTGGCAAAGAGAAAGGGGCGGAGAAAGGGGCGGGGAGAGAGGTGCAGGCTCATGACGTCAGGGACGTGCTAGCAAGGTTTTCTCCCGCAGGAACCTAGTTTGTGGCGGCTCTTACCTCTGAGAGAGGAGGAGGGAGGGTTAATATTTATTTACTGTATTTGTATACTGTAAATATTTGTAAAATTAAGCAAAAAAAGGCAAGATACCAATTTTTAGACTGGAAAAAAGAAGTGTGATTATACAGTAGCAGCTATTATACAGTGAAATATGGTATTCCTTTTCTGTTCAGTGTGGGCCAACAGTTTGCTTTTCAAGAGTAATGTAACAATAATACAAAGATGGGTAACTGCAACAGTGCCAAGGATCACCTTTCTAGTTGGCCAATTCCTGGAATCCTTTGTTCAAGTTAAAAATGCTTATGAAGTCTTCAGTGTGGCAGATAGAATAATAAAATCATAGAGTTGAAAGAGACCGCATGGGCCATCTAGTCCAACCCCCTGCCATGCAGGAAAAGCACAATCAAAGCACCCTCAACAGATGACTCCTTTCTTCCAGAACCTCATTGTACTAAAGCAGGCATGGGCAAACTTCAGCCCTCCAGGTGTTTTGGACTTCAACTCCCACAATTCCTAACAGCTGATAAGCTGGCAGGGTTTTCTGGTAGCTGAAGTCCAAACACCAGGAGAGTTTTCTGGTAGCTGAAGTCCAAAACACCAGGAGGGTTTCCTGGTAGCTGAAGTCCAGAACACCAGGAGGGCCACAGTTTGCCCATGCCTGTACTAGAGTATCAACTTTAGATCCTGCAGGTTCCTCCTTCCTGCAGAATTTTGGGATTTTGGGATTCAGTGAGGCCCAGGACCTCTCTGTTTGAGCAGTTTAAAGCCCCCTCCCTAAACTACAAACACCAGAATTCTGCAGGAGGCAGCAAACGGATTTAAAGTGGAGAGATACTCTAGTGCAGTTGTTCTCAACCTGTCCCTATGTGTTTTGGCCTACAACTCCCAGAAATCCCAGCCAATTGTCCAGCTGTTAGGATTTCTGGGAGTTGTAGGCCAAAACACGCAGGGACAGGTTGAGAACAACTGCTCTAGTGGGATGACGTCTCCAGTGGAGGAGCCATCTAACCCAGCACAGAACCCCTGTTGCAGAAAGACAAGTTAAAATTCCTGATAAATGCAGATAAAATTCACAAGCTAAAATTGACTGGATGTCTGCTGGAAATGATAGGTCTTCACTTGTCCCTTAAATTACAACAACTGACTTAACTGTTAGAGCACTTTCCACAGTCATGGGGCGACCGATGGAAAGGTCCTCTGGGTGTCAATCGCCAGTCGAGTTCTGGCTCGTTGGAATAGCCACTCCCCAGAAGACCTCAGTGTCCTAAGGGGCATATTGTGTGGGAGAAGGTGATCCAATAGGTAACATGGTCTCACTCATGTAGGGCTTTAAAGGTTCATCCCAACATTTTGTACTTTGCCTGGAAATTAATTGGCAACCACTGAGTGGCTTCTGTATAAGGGTGATATGCTCACGCCTGGATGTTCCTGCAACCAATATGGCTGCTGTGATTTGAATTAATTGGAGTTTCTGAACTTGGTACAGAGGTAGCTCCATGTAAAGTGCATTTCAGGTCCAACCTTGATGTTCCCAGCATGTGTATCACCATTTTTAGGTTCTCTGATTGATTTTAGGAAGGGGTGCAGCTCTAGCCACAGCAGACCTTGAAAACATTGAACTCAAAATCTCAGAAAAGGCCTACTGGCAAACTGTAGTTCAAAAACAATCTGTAGTGCAATGTCTTTCTGCTAAGGTCGTGTTAAATAAAGGGTTAATTTGATTGTGTGATAAATGATTACTGTGGGAAGGATTGAACTTGTGCTAATTTTCTGTGTGTGTTGGAATATCTACAGGGGGACGTTTGACAGCCGAGATGTTGCTGTGAAGAGAATTCTTCCTGAATGTTTCAGTTTTGCTGACCGGGAGGTGCAGCTCTTGCGAGAATCTGATGAGCATCCCAATGTGATCCGCTATTTCTGCACAGAAAAGGACCGGCAGTTCCAATACATAGCGCTGGAGCTCTGTGCCGCCACTTTACAGGAGGTACACTGTGGCTTCCACTTATACCTGCATTAGCACTACAACCGATCTGCTATTCAAAAAACAGGCCCTAATCATTTTAAAAAACAACCCTGTGTCATTTATTTTTTCATACTTTATTTTACTAACATCTGTGGCAGGAACATCTTTAACCTGCACTTTGGGCACCAGCAAATTGTTCCCTGCCAACCCACGGTGAGACCTATCTCCTGCTGCTCCGTTAATGACATTTAAGGACATTTAAGGATATCCTGGCAACTGTTTGCTTAAGACAAGCACTTTCACTTACAACATGGCACAAGGGAAAAGCAGAAATGTTTCTGTTAAAGGAGCTTTTGCTATCACTAGTACAGCTGCAAAGGAAATGTAATGGGTTGGGGAGGGGGTTGTCACAAAAAACAATTGCAATAAACTCCGGCATAAGCCAGTCAAGGTGGTCCCAGTGGTGATCGGCACACTGGGTGCTGTGCCTAAAGACCTTGGCCTTCATTTAAACACAATAGGTGCTGACAAAATTACCATCCTACAAAATTGCCACCCTACTAGGATCTACATGCATTATTCGCCGATACATCACACTTGGGAAGTGTCTGACATGTGATCCAATCCAACAGCCAACAGAGTGATCTTGTTTGCTGTGTACTAATCTTGTTGTGTTTCAAATAATAATAATAATAATAATAATAATAATAATTGAAATACAATAAGATGAGTCCATGGCCAACAGTGTGAACTTGTTTGCTGTGGACTCATTTTGTTGTGTTTCTAATAATGATAATGATAATGATAATGATAATAATAATAATAATAATAATAATGCACATTAAATGGCGGAAATACAATCAAAGCTATCAACACCTGGGCCATTCCCATCATTAGATACACTACTGGAATTGTGGGAACTGGACACAAGCAGAGCTGGGCGATCTGGACAGAAAAACAAGAAAACTGATGACAATCTACTATGCATTACACCCACATAGTGATGTCGACAGACTTTACCTGCCCAAAAATCAGGAGGCAGAGGGCTTCTGCAAGTAAAACAAATGATAGAAGAAGAGAAACATGCACTGGCACATTATGTGAAAGGAAGTCAAGAACCAACATTGAGGGAAGTCAATAGTAGTAAAGTGCAAAAGACAAAGAGTGAATACCGTAAAAACGCAATCCAGAGCAGAAGCGAAAACTGGCGAAAGAAGGCTCTCCATGGACAGTTCCTGGGAAAAATTGAGAGCCAAATTGACAAAGAAAAAACATGGCTGTGGCTCACAAATGGAACTCTGAAAAAGGAGACGGAGGGCCTGATTCTGGCAGCCCAAGAACAAGCCATTAGAGCAAATGCCATTAAAGCCAGAATTGAAAAGTTGACAACAGATCCCAAATGTAGACTCTGCAAGGAAGCAGATGAAATAATAGATCACATCCTCAGCTGCTGCAAGAAGATCATGCAGATAGACTACAAGTGGAGGCATTACACCGTTGCTCAGATGATTTATTGGAACTGGTGCCACAAATACCATCTGCCTGCGACAAAGAACTGGTGGGATCACAAGCCGGAAAAAGTTACAGAAAATGAGCACATCAAGCTACTCTGGGACTTCTGGATTCAGACAGACAGAGTTTTGGAGCACAATATTCCTGACCTCACAATCGTGTTAAAAAACAAAGTATGGATTGTTGATGTTGCAATCCCAGGTGATAGCAGGATTGAAGAGAAACTACTGGAAAAGCTGACACGATACGAGGATTTAAAGATTGAACTGCAAAGACTCTGGCACAAGCCCGTCAAGGTGGTCCCAGTGGTGATCAGAACACTGGGTGTAGTGCCTAAGAACCTTAGCCTGCACTTAAACACAATAGGTGCTGACAAGATTACCAACTGCCAGCTGCAGAAGGCCGCCTTACTGGGATCTGCACACATTATTCACCGATATATCACACAGTCCTAGACACTTGGGATGTGTCCAATACAACAGCCAGCAGAGTCTGCTGTGGACTCATCTTGTGGTGTTTCAAATGATGATGATGATGATGATGTTAGGGAGAGTGATTTTGATGACCCACAGAGTGTAAACCATGAACTGGATGTTTCTTGCCTTGTGCTTGGGACAGTATTTTCTTGAAGCACAGGAAATGGCATTGTAACCACCCTAAGGCAGAACAGGCAGCTTTCGTTCTAAGTTGGGCCTGTACTCACATTTTTATGCCACTAAGAACATATCTAGCTCCAGCAAAGGATCACCGCCTTGTCGTGGCGCATATCTAGAGCTCAAGTAGTAGCTTCTAAGCTATGTAACCCACTTAAGTTCCTGAGTTCACCCTCAGGGGTATATCCCATTGTGTTCAATTGGGCTTGATTCCCAAGAGTGTGTACCTACCATTACGGCTGGGAACTCACATTGCTTTTTTTCTCTTGTGTATTCCAGTATGTGGAACAGAAGGACTTTACTCGCCATGGTTTGCAACCAATCACTCTCTTGCAACAGACAATGTCTGGCCTCGCTTATCTCCATTCCCTCCATATTGGTAAGAAACCACTTTACTCTAGTATCCAACTTCTGCGATAGCTGAATTTTTCAAAATGAATGATAACATTTTGGATATAGTAAAGTGTGGAGGTAGCAACCTTTACCTTCTCCTGAGTATGTTGGGGAGCCAGCTATTTTTGAAGGACTTTTCCAAAGTCATCCAAAGAATTCAAGACTTGGATGAGATCTGTAATGAGACCTACTTAGTCCAGGTGTGATTTCTTATATGTATATGATTGGCCATCTCAAATCTAGGTTTCTGTTAACAAGATTTCTGTTTGTAGAATAGAAATCGGAACGATCTATGTTGCCAAACATGTTTGCAATTGCAAGTTTATTCAGTCTGAGATAAATATGAACATTCAAACATCAAGATAGCTTTGCAATTTAGAGCCTTTCTTTTAGTGCACAGAGATCTGAAGCCCCACAACATCCTTATTTCGATGCCTAATGCCCATGGCAAAGTCAAAGCCATGATTTCGGATTTTGGCCTGTGCAAGAAGCTTGCAGTGGGAAGGCACAGCTTTAGCCGTCGATCTGGAGTACCAGGCACTGAAGGCTGGATTGCGCCAGAGATCCTGAGTGAGGACTGCAAAGAGAATCCAGTAAGTGCATCTGACAGATTATCTACTATTTGTATACCTCCAGGGTTTTTTGGGGGGAACAGACTGAAGAAAGCCTCTGGTTTAAGCAGTTCCTGCCTTCTTTAGGAAGAGATGGTCAACAAGTACCCTGGGAGGTCCTGCATTAATTTAAAAAATGGGAACTCTTGGCTTCATAATAGTAGATGGCAGAGGATCTATCATGCAAAGTCAGAGAAGGTCCCTCTTCAAATCAATTTTATTTTAAAGTTCATAATCATTAAGTTTTAAATTGTATTCAATTGTTTTTACTGCTGTTAACCGCTTTGAGTCTCCTTAAGAGAAAAAAGTGGTATTGTAAATAATAATAATAATAATAATAATAATAATAATAATAATAATACCGAAAATGCAGTGTTTGCTACTGAGTTCAGAGAGGTGTTTAGTAATCCAATTTCTTTTAAACTGGCTTGGAGGCTTATTCAGATCCCAAGAAACTGAATTAATTAATGCATTTTGTAACAAGGCAAAGTTGAGAGGAGTTGGATGGTCAGTGTATTATGAAAATGAAAGAGGAGAGAATTAAATTTGTTTGGGCCTTGAGCATGAATATGATATTGTTGGTGTAAAGCTGTGGACCTTGGATTAATTCTGTTCAGTTCTGCCAACTGATTGTTCACAGTTCAATAAAATTTTTCAATTTGGTTTAAGTTACATATGTCTTTCCTTTGTGTTCAGGTACAGATCTCAACTACTGTTATGCAGTGAGAAACAATGTCCATACTCTTGAGTTGAAACTATATTTATAAGTGTATCCCATCCATCATTCTAAAAAATCAAGACAGAGTGACAAATATTGTTTTGTTCGCCCAAGTATATGAGACAGTTGGTGATAAACACTGTCCAATATCTTTTAAATGTCTGAAATTAAAATAGGTTCTAAGATTTTGTTAACTATTTAACATTTGCCAACAAAGTTATATAATGCAGTCTTTGTTCTGAAAGGGTTTTTTTTTTTTGCATTTATTATTTCTAGAGCTTTTCTGGAGAAATATAAATAAACTCACATTAGTGAAATGTATTCTTGCTTCTTGAACTTTAGATTACTATCTTTTTCCTTTACTCCAGTTATATTAAAGTTTTGACACCAGATTATCTTTCTGTTTCTTCTGCTTCTCTTCATAGACCCATACAGTAGATATTTTTTCAGCTGGATGTGTCTTCTATTATGTGATATCTGAAGGCAGCCATCCATTTGGCAAATCCCTGCAGCGGCAAGCCAACATTTTGCTTGGGGCCTACAGCCTGGATTTCCTAAATCGAGAAAAACACGGTAAGCAAACAGAGATATCCTACAGTTAGTTATCGGTGGCTATATTTTCCTGGGTTGTTGTAGGTTTTTTCGGGCTGTATGGCCATGGTCTAGAGGCATTCTCTCCTGACGTTTTGCCTGCATCTATGCAGGCATCCTCAGAGGTAGTGAGGTCTGTTGGAACTAGGAAAAAGGGTTTATATATCTGTGGAATGACCAGGGTGAGACAAAGGACTCTTGTCTGCTGGAGCTAGGTGTGAATGTTTCAACTGACCACCTTGATTAATATACAATGGAATGACTGTGCCTGGAGCAAACTTTTGTTGAGAGGTAATTAGATGTCCCTGCCTACTTCCTCTCTGTTGTTGTGCTGTTGCAATTTTTGGAGTTTTTTAATACTGGTAGCCAGATTTTGTTCATTTTTATTGTTTACCTTTTTTCCTAGTTCCAACAGACCTCACTACCTCTGAGGATGCTTGCCATAGATGCAGGTGAAATGTCAGGAGAGAATGCCTCCAGAGCATGGCCATATAGCCCAAAAAACCCTACAACAATCCAGTGATTCCAGCCATAAAAGCCTTCGACAATATATTTTCCTGCTTTTGCCCAACCTGTGTTTTTGCTTATGTCATCTGCACGGAAGTATTTAAAGCAGTCTTCCGTGCATTTGTAACAAGAAAAATATAAGAGAAAGACATAAATTTTACATTTAAGAGCTCGCGGATTTAGGAGTTGAGGGATTACATCCTTGGGATAACAAGCCACAGAATTCAAACTCAAACAGGTCTTGATTTGTGGATTTTTTTCCATGCGGGTCTGAAAAAGGCTTGCCATTAGGCTTACTCAAAGACAACTTGACAAATACACATACGTCCATATGCTCTGAGTAAACATGTTTGTTTTTTTCTTCCCTTCACAGAGGACATAGTTGCTCATGAATTGATAGAGAAAATGATAAGTACGGATCCTCAAAAACGGCCTTCAGCTAACTGTGTGCTAAAGCATCCATTTTTCTGGAGTTTAGAGAAGCAGCTGCAGTTTTTTCAGGTCAGTTATGACTGTTTTTTCTCTTTCTGGCTGGATATGAGTTGTAAAGGTTGCACAATACATGATATAAAATTGATAATTTGGTTTCCTGTGTTAATTTGGATGATCTATGGTGAAATTTCTCTTCTTTCCATGGTAAAATGTTAACTGTTTCAGAATCTACATTTTAGTTTACTTATCAACCCAGACAATAAGACATCTGTATTTATTTCAGGGGCCTGAATACCCTAAAAGTACCAGATCTTATCTGATCTTGGATGCTAAGCATGGATTAGTGCTTGGGTGGGAGACCCACTAATAAATACCAGATGGTGTAGGTTATCTTTCAGAGGAAAGGACTTGCAGAACCACAAACACACTTGTTTCAATATATTTGAGAAGAAGATTCTATTTGTATAAGTTATATTCCTGCCTTTCTCCCCCAATATGAGACTCAAAGAAGCTGAACTGCAACTGCAATATTTCTAATGTTCTGAAAACAGAAGTAGCAAAGAAGCTCCCAGAAAATGAACCATAGACCAGCATTACTTTCCTTCACCAGTAATAGGCAGTCTTGGAGTGATGACACTTGTGCCAAAAGGGCTGTAGCTTTGCTGGCCTTAGTGCTTCCGAAGGGTTACCTACTCATGCCTACCTATACCTCTCCGATTTGTCTTTGGCCCCTCCCTTCCATGAGCGAAAGAGGGGCAGTATGTAATGGTGATAGTGTCTTGGACTAGGTTCTAATCCCTGTTCAGACCTGGAAACACCACTGAGTGACCTTGGGCAAATTACATTCTCTCAGTCTCAGAGAAAGGGAAAGTCAGACTCTCTCTGAACAAATCTTGCCAAGTTGTAAGTTGGAGTTAACATGAAGGGACATAACAACAAGAGATTGGTGCACAGCTATGGGGAACAGGGTGGAAGATATGGAGAGAGAGAAGCAAGCATAGCATATTCTGCTTTCTCTTATTTTGGAAACCTGTGCATCTGTTTTTTCCCCAATCTGGATATCCCCAGTGGTATCTCTAAAGCAATGTGAGTGGGGATGCGGACCACACTAGATGACACCATTAGAGGGGGTGAAATCAAGATGACAATAAGATTTTTGTGCTGCATTTTAGCATTATTTTATTCTATATAAATACATACACACACATAGCCATGTAACTATTTTATTATTTATTACTAGCTGCCCCCTGCCACGTGTTGCTGTAGCCCACATGGGGGTTGTGTGTGGGAGGTTTGGCCCAATTTTATTGTTGGTGGGATTCAGAATGCTCTGTGATTGTAGATGAACTATAAATCCCACGAACTACAACTCCCGAATGTCAAGATTCTATTTTCCCCAAACTCTACCAGTGTTCACATTTGGGCATATTGAGTATTTGTGTAGAGCTTGGTCCAGATCCATCATTGTTTGAGACCACAGTGCTCTCTGGATGTAGGTGAACTACAACTCCAAAACCAAAGGACACTGCTCACCAAACCCTTCCAGTATTTTCTGTTGGTCATGGGTGTTCTGTGTGCCAAGTTTGGTTCAATTGCATCATTGGTGGAGCCCAGAAGGCTCTTTGATTGTGGGTGAACTATAAATCCCAGCAACTACAATTCCCAAATGACAAAATCATATTTTTTTGAGTGAAGGACATACATTGGGTTGTTAGGTGCCTTGTGTCCAAATTTTTTGTCAATTCATCCAGTGGATTTTGAGTTCTATTAATCCCACAAACGAACATTACATTTTTATTTATATAGATTATTTTCTGTATTTATACCCCGCCCTTCTCACCCCTTAGGAGACTCAGAGAGGCTTAAATATATAGGCACCAATTCAATGCCAACATAAACATACATCAAATAAAATAAAACATATACAATTAAAACCATCACTAAAACATATAAAGCATTAAAACCACTTATTTAAAATCACGCAGTCTGGTGCCATAATTCGAGGTCATTCCAGTTTTCATTGGAATCATCATAGATACCACCACAAAAATATTTTTCACATCCCAGCTTATTATATGTGCTGTAGCAGTAGACTTGTAAGGCTAAAATGTGCGCTGATTTGCTTTTTGAACTTTATTATGTGTATGTGCTTCAGATAAGAACTTTCTTCATAGTCCATAGCTGTATTGGTAAAGCTGTTGGATTTTGTGCAGTTTTCTGGCAATCTACAATATTGTAGTATAGTCTGGTTTAGAAGGGCGACCAGGGGGTGACCTCATGAGATACTGCAAAATGTGACACCAACTCTATTGAGGCTACTAGGTATCCCTCCTGAAGGAGTAGTTATCTTGAGTTAGACATGCTCTGGGCTCCAGGAAAAAGAGCAGCAGCTTTCCTGACCCTATTAGTACTATAGTGGAAAGGGATTCCTTCATTTATCTAATGTAAACCTGCTGCCACACATAATATGTGTAACTGCATCATGTCAATTGCAGGATGTGAGTGATCGAATTGAAAAAGAGTCCTTAGATGGGCCAATTGTCAAGGAGCTGGAAAGAGGAGGAAGAGCTGTGGTGAACATGGACTGGAGAGAGCACATCACTGTCCCTCTACAGACAGGTAAAGTACTATCATATTACTTTGACAGGGAATTAATCGGAATAATCTGTACGTTCTGTTGGTGATCCAAAGCAGAACAGACCCATAGAGTCGATAGGGTTTACATTTGTGTTTTTTACCGTTCGGCAGTTGATTCAGTGGGTCTACTCTAACTGGGATACCCAATCTGATTCAAGTATAATAGTAGTAAAAATTGTCATTCTTCTGTAATTAGACAATTACCTTTGGAAAAATAGACCCAACTGTTGTGTTCTTTCTTGTAAATAGACCCAACTGTTGTGTTCTTTCTTGTAAATCTGCTGGACTCCAAGAAGAAACAGTTGAGTGATTACACCATATAACACAATTTTTGTACCTGGATTATAAATGTCTAATTGGTTCTATCCTTAAAAATATGCACATTTGGCTCTAGTTTTTCAATGAATATCTCATAGAGTCTCGACCAATTCAACATAGCTTGTGGCAGTTTGTGGAGTATGACACTTTCAAAGTAAGGACTGCACAATTAAACAGGAAATAATACTTTCAAATCAGGAACAGATCATTATTCCAATTTTTTACACAGTGTTATGATCCTTTTGGGCTTGGTTTGTATGTAATTCTAATTATTCTGATGTCTTTTTACAGATCTTCGAAAATTCCGATCCTATAAAGGGGGGTCAGTTAGAGATCTCTTGCGGGCAATGAGAAACAAGGTAGGTGCCTTTGGAAGCATCTTTTAAGATAAGAAAGAGAGCAACTTCTTCCTTGCCATGTGTTCAGGTAAACTGTTTTTCTGCCTGCACACTACATTCTCAGAACAAATGTGGGCATTCATGTGCAGTAATTTTTAAAACAATTTAAGTTGGGATGTGGTGAGCCAAAGCAGATAAGATGTACAACAGATGAAGTATAGGATCCTTTCATGTTTTAAATTAAATGTATCTTGAGATCCCTTGAACTTCATCAAACCGTTAGGACTGAAAGACTGATTGCGTCCTTTGTCATGTGCCGTTTTTGTTGACTTAGAACTTGTGCACTTCCAGCTGCTATTTGCTGCATCAGAAAAAACATAAAACAGACCTTTGTTCTTTTTGAGCAGGATAAACAGTAACTTCGGGGATATAATTTTGATTGAGGAAATGGCATGAGGATTGCGGGAAAGGGAATTGAATGACCCTTCTTCCAGTATTTTCTCTCAAAAAAGCCCCATTTCTGTTTTCAAGTCAAAATAGAAACACCAGGAGGCCCATTTGTACATGTCCCACAACTCATCATCTGCTGTAAAAACGCAGCAACAAGCACAATCCTGCATGTAGCATTGGGAAGATAGCAGTATGGAGCATCCAACATATCCAGATCATAACCACAGGCAGAGTACCATTCTCCTCCCTCTTCTTTTCTTTTACACTATTTTCTCCTCCATTGGGAGCAACTGGAGATAAATTCTTTAGCCCTACCTCAGATTTGGTGTGATCATGTGCATCAGGCATGCTTTGGATCTTGATCCTACTTTGCCCAATCTGTCACTACACAGCTCTCCCAGTATCGGGTGTGCTAATGCCAGAGAAGAGAATGCTGCAGAATATTATGTTAGAGATAGGAGGGGTGTGTGATCTCTTTCAAGCATCCTACCACTCATTTGAGATATGTGCAATGTGCATAGGAATTAATTCATTATTTTTTTCAAATTATAATCCGGCCCTCCAACAGTTTGAGGGACTGTGACCCGGCCCTCTGTTTAAAAAGTTTGTGGACCCCTGGTTTAGTAAGATGAAGAGTGATTCTTGTAAAATGCTTCATTAAAATGTGAACTTGTTGCAAACATATGACTCTGTTGTCTCTTCTTCTTCTTCTTCTTCCAGAAACACCACTATAGAGAACTTCCCCCAGAAGTCCAGGAGACCCTGGGTTCTGTCCCAGAAGATTTTGTGCGTTACTTTACATCGCGTTTCCCTTACCTCCTTCTGCACACCTTCCATGCTATGCAAATCTGCTGCCAGGAAAGACTATTCCAGCCTTACTACATACAGGACTCTGATGGACAGATTTCCCCTGGAGATGCTGTTTGAAAGGCGGAGATGTTGTGTTTCGTTACACACGCAGGACTGTGGAACAGGCCTGTCATCACCAGGGTGACTGGAAGGATTGATTAAAGAGCAGCAGGAAGCCTCTTTGAAAGATCCAGCATCACCCAAAGTGCCTTGAACTCTGCCTGTCTGACTCAGGAAGTGGATTCCAGGTTGGAATCCAAGGAAGAAGGCTGCGTAACCTGCACACAGCTTTATATTACAGAAGAGAGGAGTGAGCAAAAGACTCCTATGAAGAAAAGTGGAGCATAAAATAGCTCAAGTTGGCACAAGCGTCATTGTGTGATACCAGAAGTACCTATACTATGTATTGATGACATTCAGGCACAGAATTGTTTCAAAAATATTGACTGCAAAGCATTCAGATAGCCAAGCACCTTCAGGAATTCCAGGAAGATCCTTCTCACTGTAGCAAATGTTGTTTCCATCGGCAGCCACATTGCAGGGTTGTTAAAGGAAATATAGGTTTAATCATTCAGGATCCAGCAGTACAAAGGCAAATGGCTAAAGTATATTAATCTCCCAAATATTTCAAAAAAGCGTGAAAGTTGACCTTGGAAACTACCGGCTGGGAATGTCAGCCCAAAGGATAGTGGCTCACAGATGGGTAAGAGTGAGTGCCATCATATGCTGCAAGGAGACCCACAAGTCTAGATGTTTCTTGGAAAAAGGGTTGACTTGCATTAAAGCAGTAGAAATCCATTATACCTTTGGGGAAAACTATTCTGGCTTCTTTTTGTGGAGCTGGAAATGTGACTTAGAGCTGCAGCAGCCAAAGTCACCTCCAAAACTGGTATATTTGGGATCAGTGGAGGGCAATGTTTGAAAAGAGACAGTAGGAGACTAGGATGGATAGATGGAAAGGAAGAAAGGGAGAGAAGGAGGGATATATAACTTTTTTCATATATAACTTTTTTCCAGCGCAAACTGAACGGGACTTGGGAAATGTGCCTCTATAGAATCTCCACTTCTATAGGATCGCTCTCCAGATTGTTTATTCTGACGCAGTGGGTCTTAGCAGGAGAAATGTTATCTTTACAATCACAGTAAAAGCTTGGTCTTTCAAACTGGAACAGGAATCCTGTTCCAGGAGGTTTTTGGGAAGCTGAAGCGAGATCTGCTTCTCATTTTGAAGCTTGCAGTTTTCCTTTTCAGTATCCCTAAAAAAACTGTGGCTCCCGATGTCTGTGCAAAAGGCATTAAGAATCCCCAGCAATGTGCCCTGCTTTCCTACGTCACTTTCGTGACGTATTCTTTTACAAAATATTTATTTTGCATATTTATATTTATTTAATTTTTACTACAGAGCAGTACCACATTTAAATGGTACAAGTGTAAACCATGCCAAATCTTTGAAAATCTCAACAGACTAAAAAATGAAATCCTCTCCAATGCAGTAAACATTTTTTTTTAAAAATGGACAAAGAAAAGGTATACTGTGTCTTTTCAACCAACTTGTGCATTTTCACTGAATCAGGATAAAATGTTTTAATGTAAAGGATGTTTGTAATCTGTGTGGCTGTATTCCTGTGTGATTTACATGAGTAAATTATTAATGGTTCATTGTATGATTGGGCATTGATGTGGGCATATGATTTTTTGCTTTTTTTTGTTCTATTGATTTGGGACCTTACTTTGCAGGGAAGTAGATCTTTTCTAGTTTTGTAAAGCAAAAGCAGAGGAGGCAAGATACCCAGATATTGACATTGCAGGAATTAAAGCTTGCAAATAACAGTAGTCTTAACTTAATTGAAATCATATTTCTTATTTTTGTAACTCTGTTGTACGATACTTTTATATTTCTTCAAAATAAGAATTTCACACAGCTAAAGAATAAAAAATAGCCTTGGAAATAAGTGTATAGCATATTTTTCCTTTTTAAAACAGTGTGCCTGGCCTCTCGATAAGACAAGATGGCGTTTCCTTGGCTGGGAAGCCTTCTTCTGTTGGGATATGAATTATGACCTGTTAGGATCATAACCTACTATCGTAACCTATCGTAACCTACTGGATAGCTGAGTTTAAGAACAATTTCAACAGAAAGGAGGAAACCATGAAAATGAACAAAATCTGGCTACAAATATTAAAAAAAACCTCTAAAATTACAACAGCAAAACAACAGAGAGTAAACAATCAGGCACATCTAATCACCTCTCAACAAAAGATTCCCCCAGGCACTGCCAAGCCATCAAATGCTAATTAAAGTGGTCAGTTGAAACATTCACACCTAGCTCAAGCAGTCAAGAGTCCTTTGTCCCACCCTGGTCATTCCACAGATATATAAAACCCATTTTCCTACTTCCAACAGACCTCACTACCTCTGAGGATGCTTGCCATAGATGCAGGTGAAACGTCAGGAGAAAATGCCTCTAGAACATGGCCATATAACCCGGAAAACGTACAACAACCCAGTGTTCCTTTAGTTCATTGGATCAGAAAAAATCAGACTTCAGTAGTTTCTCTTCGTTTGTGTGTTTGTCTTTAATAACTAACTTGAGTACCCATTGATGTCTGGCTTAGGTCTTTTGTAATTATCAATATTAGACACAGTCATTGCTTGGCACAGAATGTTGGAAATGGTCTCCCTTGGAGCCTTTTAAATACTTTGAACACAAAGGTTTTGCAAAACAGCAAATTCTGTTTAAAAAAAATTCCTGTAGACAAGTGCATTTTTTGCAAATATATATATATTGACAAAGACACACACATAAGATACAGTGACGTTCACATTTAAATCCTCCTTTTCTCCATGACACCTTGCCCCTCGGATCACGCCAGAAGCATTGTCAAAGAGCCTCCGACCAGTCACCTGGCTTATCTGGTAGGCTTGTTTGATCCAAAAAGAATTGGTTCAAAACTCATTTTGTATGTAGGGAGCGCTGGTGGTTCGAGTCTAAAGTCAATTCCGATTTTCACAGAAAAAAATGTTCAAAACTTTTCGAAACTTCTGAGACTTCCGAATCCTTTTGTTAATAGTTTGAAAGTGTTGTTTCCTGTTTCATTGGGTGGCCTTTCTTTTGAAAGTAGTTGTTTTACTCCAGAAGCGGGAAAAGCAAGTGGAGTAAATTTTTTTCTTCTCTGGTTTAAAACTGGTTTCTCTGGCTTGAGCAAGGCCAGGGACCAGAAGTGGGGAAAGGCTGAATCATTTCTGACTCACTTCATGAGTCGTAACACAAATGGAGTAAAAAGCTTCCGAAGGGCAAAGGGACTTCCGGTTTTCTTAAAAACAAATCAGAGAGAGAAGCAGAGAGTGTTTGAGGACCGGGACACCTGTAGGGATACCAAGGTGCTTGTCTATAAAGCTATTGTCCTCCCAACAGACGTCACATGCAACTCCTGGAACGATTCCATCAGTGCTGCCTCCGGAAAATCCTGCAAATCTTTTGGGAAGACAAGCAGACAAACGTCAGTGTGCTGGAAGAAGCAAAGACCACCAGCATTGAAGCGATGGTCCTCCGCCACCAACTCCGCTGGACCGGCCACGTTGTCCGGATGCCCAACCACCGTCTCCCAAAGCAGTTGCTCTACTCCGAACTCAAGAACAGAAAACGGAATGTTGGTGGACAGGAAAAGAGATTTAAAGATGGCCTCAAAGCCAACCTTAAAAACTCTGGCATAGACACTGAGAACTGGGAAGCCCTGGCCCTTGAGCGCTCCAGCTGGAGGTCAGCTGTGACCAGCAGTGCTGCAGAATTCGAGGCACGAGTGGAGGGTGAAAGAGAGAAACATGCCAGGAGGAAGGCGCATCAAGCCAACCCTGACCAGAACCGCCTTCCACCTGGAACTCACACTGCGGAAGAAGATGCAGAGCAAGAATAGGGCTCCACAGCCACATGCGGACCCACAAGGACCCATAATGGAAGACCATCTTACTAGTCCAACGAGGGATCGCCTAGGTAAGCAAGTAAGTAAGTAAGTAAGGAGGAAAAAGCTTCCGAAGGGCAAAGGGACTTCTGGTTTTCTTAAAAACTTCAAAATCACTTCGAAAAGGTGATTTTTCTGAATTTATTCTGAATTGCGAAGATTCCAATGGTACCTAACCATGCCTATTATCTGCACATCTCCTTTTTAACATGATTTCCATTATCTCAACTTTAAGTGGCTTGAGTCCGTTAGTCTCTTGATCTGGAATGACTGATTTTATCAATATACCAAAATATTTCATTATTAGGACGAATTGCCATAATTAAGATGACGATACTACCTCAACTTCTGTTCCTCTTTCAAAATTTACCAGTGTTAAGAAATGACCACTTATTTAAGAAGTGGAATTCCGATGTGACCAAATTCATCTGGAGAGATCGCAAACCAAGGATAAGTCTAAAAATATTATCAGATGACAAAAAAAGGGGAGGCCTGGGGCTACCGGACTTCAAAATTTACTATGAAGCATGCAATCTGGTTGCTATAAAAGAATGGGCAACTTTGGAGAATAGACCCCTGTTAGCATTGGAGGGACATGATATCCGTGCCGGCTGGCACGGATACCTATGGTATAACAAAAGAAAGGTGGAAAAAGCCTTCAGCGACCACTACGTAAGAGCTGCCCTAATAAGAACCTGGGAAAAATATAAATCCAGATTGTATACAAGAACACCCTTATGGATCTCCCCCACAGAGGCGAAACATAAAAGAGAATTAGAGGAAAAAAATTGGCTAACTTATCAACAACTATTGAAGGAAAAAGAGGGAGGGAACATAACATTAAAATCTTTGGATGAAATAAAACAGTTATATGGTAAAATTTCATGGTTAAATTACCACCAAATTTATCAAGAATACAAAGAAGATAAAAAATGTGGGTTCAGCCAAGACTTAAGGCTATGGGACACCGTAATAAAAAGAATAGAAAATTAATAAAAATTATTTACCAGCAATTGCTCGCATAGGCTACTGAAGAAGAACAAATTAAAAATTGCCAGGTCAAATGGGCTAGAGATATAGGACACAGTATTTATACCAAACAATGGGAAGAGATTTGGACGACTAAAATAAAATACACAGAAGCCAGTGACCTAAAAGAAAATTGGTTTAAAATGTTTTTTCACTGGTATTTTACGCCTGATAAGATAGAAAAATTTAATAAAAATGGGTCAAGCCTCTGTTGGAAATGTGGGAAAGAAAAGGGGACCTTTTTCCACCAATGGTGGTCTTGTAAAGTAGTGAAAGAGTATTGGAAGGAGATACATAAAGCAACACAAAGAATAATAAAAACTAAACTCCCCAAATTACCAGAAACATATCTATTAGGAATCACCAATAGAAAATTAGACAAAAATCAAGAAAAAATAATCTTCCTATTAACTACAGCGGCAAGAATGCTCTTAGCGAAAGTGTGGAAACAAAAAAAAATCCCGAATTTAGAAGAATGGTGTCTGAAAGTAATGGACATCATTCAAATGGATAGTCTCTCACAGAGATTAAAGGGAACAAAAAAATTCACAAACTGGTCGGGTTTTAAAGAATATATTAAATTCATAAAATTTCCTTTACAAATCGACTTGTCCAGCATATGAAGAATGCAATTCCAAACGAGGTCTGGCTTTGAAGAGGAAAACAACAGGAAATGAAGATCTCATGGAAGACTGACGGGAAGAATCCCCCCCCCCCCCCGTTCCTTTCCTCCTATGCTATCACCTTTACCCCATCCTCTCCCACTGTACACCCCTCTTTCTCAGTTCCCCCTCCCTCCAACACTTTTCACAATGTCCATCATCACCTCCCCACCCCCTCCCTCCCTAATCCTAGTGTCTTATGTCTTATGTTTATATTTATGTATATATTGTAACAAAACAACAATAAAAAATTATTTAAAAAAACAAAACAAAATCACAAGTCGAACACTTTCCAAGCATCTAGGACTATGTGGTGTATTTTCGAATGATGCGCACAGATCCAAGTAAGGCCTTTTGCAGTTGACAGATCGTAATTTTGTCAATGTTAATTGTTTCCAAATGCCAGCTGAAATATTTTGGCACGGCACCCAGTGTGCCGATAATAATAATAATAATAAATCTTTATTTGTACCTCACTACCATCTCCCGAAGGGCTCGATGCGGCTTACACGAGGCCGAGCCCGATGACAACTGGGACCACCTGTACTGGTTTATGCCAGAATCTTTGCAGTTTGGTTTTGATTATAATGTTGTTGTTGTTGTTGTTGTTGTTGTTGTTGTTGTTGTTTCTATGACACTCCCCAAGTCTTGGGGGGGGGGTAATTTGTCCTTAAATTGTGCATTCTTATCCCATCCAAAGAAATATCTTAACATAATAGGAATAATTGGGACAGTCCCTACCAAATCAGGCTAGTCAGGTGGCATGCACAAATATGGATTATCTTTTTAGGCTATTTATTATTTGGTTTAATGTAAACATCCTCAGTGTTCATTTTTTCCCTTTATTAAAATGCAACCAGAAATATTTGCCAATCATAATCTCTCGCCACATTTTAAATTTATTTTCTTCCATAAAGAAGAACAGGATGTTTTGACTGAAAATACTATTTATTGTTTGCAGCTGTTGAGACTACTTTATTAATGTAAAAATAGATATTATTTATTGTGGTTTTCATGCTAAAGTCAGTTTCAAAGTGAATTCTTCGTACAGGAATATTCCTGCACCAGGACAGCTTTATTCCTCCATTTTTCTTTCCCTTTTTCCTGCTTCCCACTACTATTTCCAGTGGTAGGAGGCTGCTTAATTCCCTTAAGATAACCACGAAGTTTTGCACTGCAAAACGAATTACAGTACAGGGCCCTGGAAATGAGATTTTCTCTTACTGGCAAAGACTTGCAATGATGTGTGTGGCTTTTTTAAAAGGCCTTGGCAGTTCAGATGACTTCTCAAATGAGCCAGC